AGGTATTTATTCATGAAATAGGCAAAACAAAATTTGTTTGCTTTATGTGCGACCTTTTTATGCACCAAAAACAGGTTAAATAAATAAATAATAAAATATCGGGAGCAGTTATCGATTTTTAGTGATAAACTCGATATGCGCGTGATATACAAGTACCTAGGAAAACAATTTTAACAAAACCATTATACCCTGATTTCCCATTTTCAATGGGTTCAGGGTATAACAAGTAAGAACGTTGCAGTCGGGCGTAACCGACTGCGGAATACTCATTCACACCCCATCAGCAATTTAGTAGCTAAGTTTAGCTCTAATACTGAAGAACGTTCAGTTTTTCTCTTACGCTAAAAAAAATGTGAAAATTACAGGGTATTTTCGATATGACATCGATAGAGGATATTACTAGTAACCTGATTCTCCGAATTTGCAGCTTCTAGCTCTTAAGCTGTAGGAGATATAAACTTTTGCGGTTTGCCACGCTCCTTTGGGCGGAGATAAATCCATCATAACTCGTTGGACTTGGGAGGTAGCAGAATTTGAAAAATCACTACATCCTCAGGTCCGATTTTCCACGCCCCTAGTAGGCGTAGATATATCATTTGCCACCCATCTTTAAAGAATAGAAACATTAGCTCACGTGCAAAATTTCAGCATTCTAGATTTACAACTTTTGGAGGTTTGCCATGCCCCCAATGGGCGGAGATATATCCGCCATAGCTGGTGATCTTGGGTGGTCGACGCGGATCTACATACCAAATATTAGCTTTCTAGCTCTTCAACTAACATGATTTCAGGCATATCGGAAAATACATTTTCCGATCCGGAAAATTTTAACACCTTATAAATCGGGGATAAACACGAGTATAACAGTATTAACAGTATTAAAAGTTATTCGGTTCTGAGTTTATGCTTTTGATTCTGAGGCGACTTCGCTCTCTATCTGGACTCATATATCGAGATTCTTAATGATGATTAAATTGTATTTATAGACTACTCACCTTTAGACGCTGTTCTGCTGCTATCATACTGAAGTAAGCACAGCATTGCTCGGGCGATACCATGGCACGAATTTCCTCCTCGGAGGGCAGTCGAAACTCGGGCTTGATGACCCACCAATTGGAGTCCATGCCTGTGCGCTTGAAGTCAGCACACTGCTTCAAGCGCTTGCGTATGCTGCTCTCCGAGTGAGCCGGAAAGGCGCGTTTCACGTCATCCATGCGAATACGACGCGGATTGTCGCGGCTCTTCCAGAAAAGGCGATAAATGAAGACCTAAAATATGCAAGTGCTTAAACAAAATCGAAAGCGAATATTCCAGCTGGAATACCTGCAAAAAGTCACGCGTAAAGTTGTTGGCCCTCTTCGAGTTGGGACCAGGCACTTCGTACAGTGGGCACTCTTGACCCACAGTAAAAACTGCATTCACAGCACGAATCCAGTAGTTGCTGCGCGTGCGAATAATCAAGAAATCTGAGGAGGACATCTTGTGTAGATAAATTGGTGCGCGATACATGTTATTCTCCAGGGCTTGGATGCACTGGCCCGGGTGCAGAATACCCAGGAACGGGCTCGTATGAGCGAAAGCCACTTCACCGTAGACATAGTCCTGTGGACCGCTGTCCTTTTCGGCCTTGCGCTTGTAATAGTTCTTGATCTTGGAGCACATGCCCACTTGGTTCATAAGCGGAGGATGCTCTTCGCAGAACTCAGCCAGAATGATATCACCATCTTTGCCGCTCAGATCCTCGGGATTGCGCATGAAGAATACGTCGCCGCCGCCAGAAGCGATGCGCTCAACCTCGCGCTGCTTGGCCTTCTTTATAATATTTTTCAGCAATGGATAAACAGGATGCAGAGTGCTTTGCGAGAGCGGACCGTGCGAGAACTTCTTTAGCGGCGGACGATGGAACGACCGCAGCTTCATCGGTCCCATATGCGTAGGTACGAACGGAGCACGCAGCTCCACCACTGGAGTCGAGTGCTGTATGAGATTGCCGCCGCCCACCTTGAGACGTAGTGTGGGCTCTGTTTTAGGTGAGTAATAGCTGTAAGAGGAGAAAAATTTATTTATTGATTAATGATCAATTTCTTACTCAATCAGATTCATGATTTCCTTCTACTCACGAGTCATTCGATATATTAAAGGGATCGCGGTCTGGACTCTTGGGTGGCGGCGGAGGAGTATCTTCGGCCAGTACGTTGATTACACCAGCCTTACCGAGCAATATCTTGGATTTCTTAACGTGAGGATGCGGTATCTTGATCTTGGGCGGAGGTCCAGTGTTCTTGTTAATCTTGGACGGATCTATGTCATCGGGTATGCCGAGTATAATGTTCTCATCGTTGGGATCTAAAGTTAAAACCTTCGGCTTGGGCACTTTGTTCATCTGCTGAGCATCCCAAATGACCTCATCCTCCCACTTGTAATAGATGAGCTCCTCGTTCTCCACGGGAAACAAGCTGTACCAAGTATCATCGGTAGCCTCCACTTGCTTGTTTTGGGCAGCACTTCAAGTCAAATGGAAATTAATTTTATAGAGCTGCATTAAATGTTACATGTATAACTCACCTCTGCAGTGCCTTCTTGTTTGAGGCCCCGGAGTTTTGTTTGCCGCTGTTTCCACCATTCCCTCCACTGTTGCCCACCGGCAAAGCGGACTTGCCCGGCTGGCTAAAAGCGCCCGCTGTGCGAGAGCCACTCGAGGGCAGCCAGCCCGCGGCATTTGTCTTGGAATTGAGCTTTTGTAGCACTTTAGCTTTAATATCGTTGCCATCCCAGACCACATCGTCCTCCCAGTGCAACTGGGACACCATAAGAAATGCATCATCCGCAATGCTGAGCTCCTGCTGCTCGGCCTTTTTATCGCCCCCAACTTCCGAGCGTTCAGTGAGGTACTTAGGCTGCGAGGAGGATGTCTTGAACCCGTAGGTGAATCCCTCGCCAGAATCGGGCACGTCCAGCATGTCATACCAGATCTGTGCGGGTCCATAGCGCCAATCGGCGATCTTTGGTTTCTGATCGCTATTTTCGCCATTGTCTGGTCCCTCCTGGCGCACATCTTCGCTGTTCATGTCGCTCAACAACTTGTCCTCGTCATCGGACACGCACTGAGCCGGAGTTGGATCTGGACCGAAATGCAAACTAAAGCCGCGTCTACGTGGCTCTTCAGAATCGCTTGGTGAATCGGAGCCGCCATTATTGCTTGCTTTCTGGTCACGCGAATGCTTGCGCTTGCGCCGCCGCTTGCGTACATGCCGCCAGATCTGAGGTAGGCTGGTGGGCTTACCCGGTCCAAAGAGGCGAGAAAAACGCAGCACCTTTTGTGGACGGAAGTCGGGAAAGAGCTCGCAAACATCGACGTTTTGGTATTTAGACGGCAATATGTCCGCCAGGGGCGTGTCCAGCCGACGATCTGCTTCGGCTATATAGGGAAATACATATATATATGTTATAATCTATTCTTAACTCAGCTACCTTTAGTGTCGCTTGACTTTTCGTCGCTGCCGCTAGACGCTTCAGCTGATCCACATTTCGTTGGAGATTCCTCGTTGCCAGCTGAAGTCGCGTTGGCATTTCGCATCGGTGCACAGGGCGGCGGCATCAGCTCCTTGTCGTCTTTGCCTACAAGCATCATATATTAGCGAAAGGCCCTATCTGTCTACTAAGCTGCTTACTGGACTTCGCTTCTACTTTGGTAGCTGGTATAGCATCTTCCAAGTCGTCGAAAATGGGTGCACCCTCGTCAGCTTGCTGAGCTGGAGGCGACGGTGTGCGTGGACAGTCCTCGGACAACTCATTTATGTCCGAATAATCGATTGCATCATCCTGGGCCTTAATGGCTCCATCCTCGTTGGGCTTATTGCTTAGGCCAGCCTTCAAGGCATCGAAGGCGCTCAAAGCTTCAGAGGCCTCTGCCATCGGCTTTTCCTCACTATCCTCATCCGAATTGACGGTATTGTGATCAATCACTTCGCTCAAAAGAGAATTAAGACCCAATCTGCAATTTCAATACATTTATAGCATATACATATGCAAGTATAAATATATATAATCAATTTAAAAATCATACTTGGATAAAGAGCTTAGATTTTCGCGAAGTTCCGCATCAAAAGTGTGGCCTCTGTCATCTTCGTCGTCCACAAGCTTGCCCTCCGAGTCAATGTTGCCGAATAATATGCCGGTGAGATCAATTCCCATGTCATTTACAGCATTACCGCCAACGGAGCCTTCGTCACTGTCGTTGTCCGACGCGGTATCCATAGCGTACAATTAATTGATACAACTTCTTGAATATATTTCGTATTATTCAGAACGCTGAAAATCAGTTTTTTTGGTATTCCTATATATTGAAGAAATTTTTCCAAATGTACTGCTCTCGCTACTTTTTATTGAAATAAAAATTTTGTGACAAGTTCTTACTTTGTGCTAGTCCTGCAAAACTATCGATTTCTGTTACCGATCGATCGATGAATATTGAATATGCCGATAGATCGATGCCTTTTTTGCACAATCAATATACATATTTGTTATCAAGTATATAAACAATAATAAGAAGCAATGCATAGTAGTCGACTGAACTTAATTAATAATTATTAAATATTAAATATAAGAGACCATGTCTGATGCTGATGTGACATCACCATCGATAAATTTGCAGCCCTACTTTGTGTTATTAATGCCATATGACAGTAGTTTCAAAGCGTCAAAATTTCAACTACTGCAGTCGATGTTATCGATAAGTACGATGTGGACGATGATTATTTAGCTAAGACTTTAACCAAATCATGCCAAGAATAGACAATTTTATTGATAATTTCTTCCTCTCTGTCACATTATTAAATTAGAATATTGTATGCAGTATTTACTCATAGTAACTGATCAGGCCATTGGTAAAATTGATAACACTAATAGAAATAGAAACAGTTTCACGGTGCCACAATTAGGTTTATACACTCTGTTAATATTTCCCTAAAGGGAAATGTTAGCAGCGCAGCAGCTGATTCCATTTTAATTGGCCAATTTCGCGAAATACAAACGTGCAGACAAAACTGAATTTGAAAATGGAGGTGGAATTTCGCAAGGACAACTTTTTGCTGCCCGAAACAAAATATGAATGTGAGAATTAGTGATTGTAAAAATATTATATATTAATAATATTATATATTACTGTAAACAGATTTGGATCACACAGCTGATGTGCAGTGAGTAGCGCACGTTGGAGGCGGCAAACGAAAATGAATCATGGATAAAAATATTTCTAATTATCGCTTAGGTTGCACGGCTGGGGCGCCACGTTGAAAGAGGCGTTCGAGCAATGCGGCGTCGCAATGTTTGGCTACATGACGGATCTTTCCTATGTGACTGTAAAAAACTGTTACGAGATCGAGGCGAAGGGCGACGATATTGAAGGTCTGCTCTTTCATTTTTTGGACGAGCTGCTGTTTCTTTTTTCAGCGGAGCCGTATTTGGTATGCAAGAAACTGGAAATCACGAAATTCGATTTGGACAACTTCGAAATCGTATGTCGCTGCTATGGCGAACCCTTCGAGCTAGGCAGGCATCCACAGGGCACCGAAGTAAAGGCGATCACTTACTCGGCGATGCAAGTTGTGCAGGACGCGGTGAAGGGTCTTTACGAAGTGTTCGTCATAATTGATATTTGAGTATTAAATGTGTTTGACTTTGTTGCTGTGAAGTTAACCGAACGCAATTCGAATTTGTGCATGCCTTTTGTTCAACTCCTGTTTCTATTAATCTTAAGTTAAATATAAAAATAATAAAAAACCACACACACACACATTTATATATATATATATATATATATATATATATATATATATATATATGTATGTATA